ACATCGCGTCTCCTCCTTTGCTCATCACCGATACTCTCTGTCTCTCTCTGTTTCCCTCTGTCTCGCTCTCTACTCTCTGTTTGCTATCTCTATTTCTCTCTCTTTATCTCTGTCGAATCTTTTTTTTTTGTTCTTGACAGCTTCGATTCACGGTGTACCGGATACCACAGCTTGGATCTGAGAACACGCCAGATCTGAGCATGACGACTTGGGCAGAACAAGACGATGGATGAAAGTGGATGAAGATGATGAAGATGAAAGCAGGCGGCTCGACGGCTGAGTCCTTTTTTGTTTTTGGGTTTAGGTTTTTTTCTTTCTTTTTAGATTTGGTTTAGTGTAAACCGAATTGTACTAGTCTGAGTTTATTTTTGAATTTCTGGTTTAGTTTTGTAAACCGGAAAAATTTGTAAACCAATTTAAATTTATAAATAATTTTTTTAATATAAAACAATTTAAATTTAATTTCAATTATTTTATTTTTAATTATTATTTTTGATTTATTGAAAAAGATCTATTATAGCACAAATATATGAATCTTAATCAATGTATAACGAAAAAGTAATGTTATAGTTAAGTTATTAACAACATTCAAATATTGCTATTGTATATGTATATTTCGTAGCATTTCAAAAATGCTATCGTAGATGGGGTACCTATGATAGCTGCCGATGACATAGCATTTATGAATTCGCTATGAAAGGTCTAGGATACCATATTTTATGCGCTAAGAATGTACATATTTCTTGTAGTGTGAGTCTGGCAATTGATTAGCTAGCTTTTGTAAGTGTATTATCTTTTGAACTTCTAAATCACACTCTTAAGTCTGAGGATCTTGCCAAGACAAAGATGGTTGATACCATGAAATTTCTTTTACCAACTTATTATTATCTCTCCCTAATGTTGGATAGTTGGATTCATCAAATTGACAATCCGCGTACCTGGCCTTAAACAAATCACCCGTGGTTGGCTCAAGGTACTTTATTATCGTGAGAGATTCATATCCAACATACATCCCCATCCTCTTTTGAGGTCCCATCTTAATTCTCTGTGGTGGAGCTATCAGTACATGGACGGCACAGCCAAATGTCTTAAGATGGGATATGTCTGACTCGTGACCCGTAAGCAATTGCGACGGTGAATATCCATGCTCACTAGATGGCCTAATGTGAATTAACTCGGTTGCATGTAAAGCTGCATGTCTCCAAGCTGAAACCGGGAGTTTTGATCTCATAAGTAATGGTCTAGCAATTAGTTGTATGCGTTTAATGAAGGATTCGGCCAAGCCGTTTTGTGTATGTACATGTGCTACATAATTTTCTACACTTACCCCCATGGACATATAATAATCATTAAATGTTTGGGACGTGAATTCACCAGCATTATCAAGACGTATAGTCTTTAAAGGAAAGTCTGGAAAGTGAACTCTTAAACGAATTATCTGAGCAAGTAACCTCGCAAATGCCAAGTTTCGGGTTGATAATAGATATACATGTGACCATCTTGTAGACGCATCATTAAGGACCATATAATATATAAACTTCCCACTAGGTGGGTGTATTGGTCCACATATGTCACCTTGTATTCTTTCCAGAAAGTTTAGTGTTTCCTTAGTCACTTTAACTGGTGATGGCCTAACAATGAGTTTTCCTTGTGAACGTGTGTAATAAGTGCTAAGGCATAACTCTTCTTTCTTTCAATGTGTGCCCATTTGTATTAGATATCAATTTTCGCATCATGGTCGAACCAGGATGGTCCAGTCGGTCGTGCCAAAGAGTGAAGTTGTCGGTATAAAGACTTTGTTTACCGTGGCATAAGCCTTTATCATACTGATATTGGCATAGTAAAGACCAGTAGAGATTTCAGGGAATCATAGAACTCATTCATTCATTCATTCATTAAGTTTAAGCAGACAAAGAAACAAAACAAATTCAAAACAAGAAAACATAAAACAAAGAAAACACAAAAATTTAATGGTCGAAATCAACTTGATTCTTTTAAGCAATCTGAAGTTTCATACTCCAAATTATCATCTCATCCATGATCAACATCATCTTCATTATCTTGATAGATCAAATGGGCCTCATGATTATTCCTTTCAGACTCTCTTGATAGAGTTCAACTAAATGTTTGGGAGTCCTACATGTCTTAGCCTAATGGTTACTCATTCCGCATCTATGGCATACTGATTTGGTCGAGTTGGTCGAGTGTTGTGGTTTAAAAGAGATACCACGGTCTTTACCTCGACCACGGCTAAAATTGGGTTGGTACCCATGAACACTATTTTAAACTATCAACCTATCCATATGTTTTGTTAATTTTCAGAAATAGATTAATATCTTTGTATAATATACATTTTTTTAACTGATTGTATAATATACTCTCAATTCGATAGTAAAAACAGATCACTACAAGAAAACGCTTGATTACCGACCAACAGTTACGACTACGAAATGGTGGTCGTAATTTTACGTCTGTGGCTTTCTATTTTCTAATTTGGTTGATTTTCTTGAATTTTTTTAAAACTTTGGGGGTATCCCAGACCCATAGAAAAATCCAGACTATCCCTAAAGAGGTGGTGTAATTCATGGATAAACCCTCACTCGTGGTATTCAAATGGACTGTAAGATAGGCCATAAAAACTGGTGGCGGTCGAAATTCTCATAAACGCATATGTTAACACATATGGGCTCTCCGTATATTCAGTGGATTTCTTTGAATTTGTATATTTAGAATCACATAAAAGTTGGGGTGGCCGAAGCTTGTCCAAAATGCTCGTAGACGGACGTGTCCAATAATATTTTGTTTTAGCAAAACATTATTAATCTAACCTCTAATCAAATTAATTTTTAACACTATTTATTTATGTATTACAAACTAAGATAAATATTATATAACGATATTACATTTCACAATTCTATCTGATTTACGTGGATTTACGTCTGATTATATCACCCCTTTATAAGATCCATAGGGCCGGCCTAAAAGATTATATGCGACTTTTTTGAAAGATTTGAACTAAACTTTCTTTTTTTTTAATTTGGGGCCTAAACAATTTTTTTTGACCTTTGTCTATGTATTTTTTTAGAAAAAAAATAAGGATCTAAAACGAATGTTTCGTTAGACTTGGTTTAGAATCGGCTCTATCATCCCTTCCTGGCAGTATTACTTGTACCATGTTGAAGACTCTTGTAAATATTTTCTCTGATAATTTGCATAATTCGTTTTCTCTGAGAATTGAAATTCAAACATTTTGGTGTAGAAGTATTAATGAACTTTCGGTTAAACCATGTACCAAAGGGATTTCCACACCTCTAATCAAATGATTTATCCATTTACTTTTTTCAATTTTCAGATTATAGGTTAGCTGATTTATAAAAAGAAAAAAAAAAAAGCAACCTGTTATGGCTTAATTTCTTGTTTTCAATATATTGGGTGTTGTTGTCTAAATTACCATTTAGATCCTCACGAGTTGCATAAATATTAAACTAAAACAATAAATCATATAAATAAATATTTACACATACTCTCTGCTTATATTTCTGTCTTAAATTGTCATTATACTTTCAACTAGTTTTTGATCCGTGCGTCCGCACGGCTATTTGTTCTTTGTAATCATATGTATTTTAGTTTTAAAAATTTGATAAATTTAATTTTTTATACTCATTATGGTATATATTCATATGTTTATTAGGTTTCGAATTGGTTTATCTTGTCAATGTTATTAGTTTCATTTATAAACTATAAGATTTTGTTTTTGTTTTATTCTGCTTTCATATAGTTTTCTCATAGATTAACCTCTAAAGTATTAGAGGGTTAAGTATATTTGTTGGTTTATTATATTATATATAAAAGTTTTGTGTTAAAGCTGAATATAAAATTAGAGAAATTTTCTAGGATAGATCTAAAAAAAGTTTTTGTCACAAATAGAGATTTTAAAAATAAAAATGATCAAGATAGACTTAAATGTTTTATAAAATATAAGTAAATATACACTTATATCTTTTAATTTAACTGATTCTAGACCTTTTTGTTTAGAGTTTTGAGAAGTGGGGTTTTGGGGATAAGATTTCAAATTTATAAAAATAAAAACAAAAACTTAAAAAATTCAAAATAAAAAATGTTATTTTGGTCAATTTAGTTTTTGAGATCTATTTTAGTGATAAAAAACGTAAAAAGTCTATTTGAGAATTGCCCATAAAATTAATATTTTGCAGTTAGATTTTTTTAAGCAAAAAAAAAATATTTAGACAAATCAACAGGAACAGTAATGAAACCAGGTTTAAAAACAACATTCAAAAATAAGAAGAATGCTCAAAAAATAAGAACAGAATTTAGTTTCATAAATCATTATTTCAATTTGGATCATGTCATCATTGGGTCCTAATATTTGCAGCAGGTTAGCACATTTTGAAACAACACGTAAATGATTTTCTGTGTTCAGTTTGGTAAAATGCAAAATATAACAATAATTTGGGCCATGAATATATTGTAAGCCCAAAAGAAATATAATGTTTCGGTAAGAAAGAGAGTAATATTAGGTGTTAATAATGTAAGTCAACGAAATTTAAGATGATAACGTAAAACGAAAATGTTTCGATGGCAGTGGCATTAGGATGTAATTTTTGTGGAAAACTCAGAACTAAGTACTATTTGTACTTCAGTCTTAATAAATTAGATGTCTCCAGATTTTGTTTATGTTAATACAACTGACTCATTTAACCATATCTTCTGGATTCTGCTTTAATCATATACAGACAAAAGTTTAGAGTAAGAGAGCCTTGACTTTTAAGTAAGCTTAGCCTAAGGTTTTTAGCTAGATCTTCAGATTATATGAATACACAACTTTTGACAAGTTGTTCTCATAAATTCACTCTTTTAAAACCCGAAACGTATCTCTTCTTCAATTTTCACGCCCTAATAGCCTATATAAGTAGACACCCCCCACAACACCAAATATCATAGCAACAACAACAACAAAGACCACTATAGATCTTGAGATAATGGATAACTTGAATGGATTCGTGAGGGGAGACAATCAACTGAATGAAGAGAAACCTCCTGCACGAGTGTGCCCACGGTGTAACTCTGACAATACCAAGTTCTGTTACTTCAACAACTATAGCTTGTCTCAGCCGCGCTACTCATGCAAGAATTGTCGTCGATACTGGACTCATGGTGGGGCTTTAAGGAATATACCAATCGGTGGAAGTGGCCGTAAACCCAAGCGCTCAAAGATAGATCAACAATCTGCTGAGATCCAACAAGTTAATCATCACGAGTTTGGTAGATCTTTTGGTGGTTCCTCTGATGCTGTTGTTGAGAACCATTTCGGTTTGCATGAGATTCATAGTGATATGGTAACAAATGTGCCTCCAGTAGGAAGTTTTCCACCAATGGAGGCCTTAAATATCTCTCAAGATTATTATGTCGTTGGATCCAATGATTTGATTGATAATCCTTTGCTAAATCAAGATGATTCAAACATATGGAACGAGAGCTTCAACAACACTATGAACATGAATCATAATGCAAGCACGAGTGGAAGAAGACGGTATTGGTAAGCACTGATCACCTATCATTTGGAGAAGCATGGTCCCTGAATCATAACCGCTTTACCCGTTGTCTTTTTTTTTCTTAAGCTAATAATGTTTCGGGTTTTTTTTTATGTATTACTTCTTCCTTTTTTTCCTTTCATGTTTCCTGTTGGGTTTATTTTCGTAGTTTGAAAGTTTGCAACTTTTTCCCAAAAGATTAGTTCAGACATAAAATGTTTGTCTGATCTTTCTTTATATATAATTAATATAAATTAATATTTATCGTGCCAGTTCATTATTTTGTGCCAGTACATTTTTCTGGTTGTAACTTGTAAGCAGGGTTGAATCAGAAGTCTGAACTAAAATTCATAAAGCACCCATTTAACGCACCAAAATTTAGATAAAAGTTTAATAATATCAACAAATTCTAGTGTGATATTTTATGGAATATTGAACATTTTTATGCTTTACGCATAAATATATAGGGCCGGACTTGCATGCAGATTTGGAGTGTGAACTAAATTACGTTAATAATAGAGATCGTTATGTAATATTCTTTTGGTGAATTAATCGACATGTAATCCCAATACAACATAAGTGAAACTCATGCATGTTACCTGTTACTCTTTAGGAAATGTGGACACTCTTACAAGTTACAACTATGAAAGACAATTTTAGCAGATATATTCGAATTTCCAAATAGATTTATGTTTCAATTTCATTTTTATTAGCAGTTTCTTTTGTTTCAGATGAGTTTGGTTGAGATTAAATTTCTTCTTTTTTTGTATCAGATTGAATTCTATTGTCACTGAAAACTCAAGTATTCCATCTTTATAGTCTTCTTCAGGTGATGTGTCTACATATTTAAGTGTCAAAATACTGAAGTTCTATAGTTTTACATTTTAATTGTTCTTCAAAAAGTACATATTTATATATTATTTTATTTTTAGGTTTTTTTCTGTCAACTATTCTAGGTAATTATGACTATACGGTTCAAAGTATAAAACAAATTATTATTGTTGGCAAGAAAAAGAAAAGTTGTTCTCTCATATTTCCTAGAGCCAAACAGCCACTTTACATGAAAAAATCCAATGATATTAAAAAAATCTAACACTATAAACAAGGACATACAAGAAGTCCAGATTTTATGAACGACACGTGGATACAACCGGTTACAGATTACCACGAGATCCAGACGCGGAAAAGCTAGATTCTGTCAGTTATCGATTCCGACAGAGAAAGAGATGACGTACGTCTTCCACAGTAGTTTTGACACGTGCACGTTTTATCTATTTATTTATTTTCTCGAACATTTTCTATTTTTTTTTTCTTCTCAACAAAATTGTTTTCTATTTTTTTGGGTAAGGATAATTGTTTTCTATTTTTTTTTTTTGAAAAAAAGTTTGATAATTGTTTTCTATTGTGTTCAAAAGTTCGCAAATGCATTACCCTGTTCTCTCTAGTTTCAATTTTCTTATTTTGGCATGTAATTCGTAAGTAAGCAGTTACGCATAAGCTCGATCCTAATGGACATTTTGTTCAGAAAGAGATTTTTTTTATAACAGAAAGAGATTATAGAGAAATACAGGGGTTTTAATAAAAAATCTCTTCAAATTTTTAAAATTATTGGCGACAAAACAATTAAGACGTACAAAACACGTGTCCATGCATTCAATTACAAAAGCTAATGACGGTACAAAACGTCAAAAAACAAGTGCCCTTGGACGTGGGTAATCACTAATTACACAAAATCATCTACATATATATATAAGAGCTTCATTTCACAAGTATTCCATAATTGAACCAAGAGATCTCGATCATTCCTTACATACAATTCTTGTTATCTATTTGATCCCTAAAAGAAATGGCTACTTCACGTCTAGCAAGGTTTGTATCAGAGGTTGCTCCGCCTCAATTCGTGACGGTGATGAGGAGACATAGAGCAGCGAAGCAGAAGCTTGACACAATCAAAGAAGAAGAGTATAAAGAAGATTGTTTCAATGGTGGGATAATGATGATGATGTCTAATAAGATGACATCATCTCATCACCATTCTTATTCTTCTTCCTCTACTTCGGTTTCTAGTTCTGGATCTGCCTCTAAGAGTTTTTCTCGTTGAGGCTCGAAGCTCTTTTTTGTCTTCGAGAAACTAAGATCTTCTTATAGTTATATTTGGAATTGATCGGGTCCGTGTTTTTGNATGGTGGGATAATGATGATGATGTCTAATAAGATGACATCATCTCATCACCATTCTTATTCTTCTTCCTCTACTTCGGTTTCTAGTTCTGGATCTGCCTCTAAGAGTTTTTCTCGTTGAGGCTCGAAGCTCTTTTTTGTCTTCGAGAAACTAAGATCTTCTTATAGTTATATTTGGAATTGATCGGGTCCGTGTTTTTGTGTGCACCCGTTTCTTTATGTAGTTTGCTTAAGATCCGGACCTTTTTATTATTATCTAAAAGGTCCGAGACATTTATGTGTTGTATGATTGTATCTCTCAATGATCAGTTGTATTATTGAGGGTTCTACATATTGTAATTTTGAACTCCTGTTTTAATAAGGTTGTTGTTTTGTATACGTTCACACAGGGGCGAAGCCAGCCTATTTAATTACTGGGTGCACTCTTGTTAATAAAATGAAAAAGAGTCAAAAGGTATTATTGAGGGTTCTACATATTGTAATTTTGAACTCCTGTTTTAATAAGGTTGTTGTTTTGTATACGTTCACACAGGGGCGAAGCCAGCCTATTTAATTACTGGGTGCACTCTTGTTAATAAAATGAAAAAGAGTCAAAAGGTAATCTCGAACTTGGGTTGCCATCAGGGT